TGTTCACGAACATAGAGGACAATAATCCTTTGAAATAGACATACTCTCCAAGACTCCCGGTAGGTACCATCACAGTAGCACCATATAACAGACTAAATTTCTCAAATATTCTCTCAGCAGAACCTAACACTTTCTAGAGAGATGCTGAACCTGTCTGTTTTCTTTTCACCACTTTAAAAGACCGTTATTGAGGGTGGTTGGCGGGTGCCCTGGTGTGGTTTGCTTCTTCTTTCCTATCCAACATCTCTCTCCCCTTCTTCTTTTTGTGCTTATTGCTCTCTTGTAACACCTCTAATCTTAGGCCTTTATATGACCTTATTGTGTTGCAAGTGCCATAAAAAGCTCTAACTAAAACTAAAAGACGTTATAGGGTCAATATTCACCAACAAAAAAGAAGACTCCGCGTCTCCTTGCAGGCACCTTCACAGTAGACCAATACATGTAACTCTGAAATCTTTTCTCAGGACTCTTCGCTTGCTAGAAAAATGTTGGCTGGTGCCACTGGTAGATCCTACTAATGTTCTTTCCCTCTCTTTTGTAAGCCTGTCTGTTTCCCTTTTCCCCTCTCGAAATGACCGTAGTTGTGCTAACGTGCATCGTTTACAAAGAGGACAATAATTATTTGAAATAATCATTTTCTTCAAGACTTCCAGCAGGTACCATCATGGTAGCATCATATTTTAGTAGACCGATTTCTCTCAAACTCTCTCTCAGCTGAACCCAATACTTGCTAGAGAGATGAAGAAGGGGCGCCACTGACTAATCCTACTTCTTTTCTTTCCCTCTCTTTTTATGTCTCTCTGTTTTCTTTTTCCTTTCTCTCTTCCCTTCTCTAAATGACCATTGTTGAGTCGATGTTCATAAACAAGGAAGACAATAATCATCTGAAGTTGGCAGACCATCCACCAGTCCCTGCAGAAGAAGCATCACAGAAATACCATGTTGTAGACAGTAGACCAATATCTCACAAATCTCCTCTCAGCCTGACCTAACACTTGCTAGAGAGATGCTGGAGAACGCCACTATTTTTATTTTCTGTCCATTTCGCTTTCCGTTGCTCCAAAAGACCGTATTTGAGTTGATGTTCACAAACAAAGAAGATAATACATGTAATCATTTGAATTTGACAGACGCTCCTTGACTCCCTGTCTCTCTGTTTTCGTTTTCCCTTCTCTATTCCCTTCTCTAAATGACTTATTGAGTCGACGTTCACAAACAAAGAGAACAATAATCGTTTGAAGTAAACCGACTTCTCTGCAGGTACCATCACAGAAGTACCATGTTGTAGACAGTAGACCAAGATCTCTGAAATCTTCTCTCAGCGGTACCCCCAGTGGGTCGGGGGGATATAAATAGACCCACTGCTCCGCCAGCAGGAGGTGAAACCCCTTCACTGGCGATTTGTCGCCCATGGA